ACGATTCCTGTGGTGTTGGAGGCTTCTCCAGAAGATTAGAGATTAGTACATTATGTGATGTAAGACTAAGTCTTTTGTAATGAATATCTATATAAGCTATGTAATAAAGACATTGTCTTTGATATTACCCCTCCATTTGTAACTATATATGTGTGAATTAACTTTCTGGGCGCACATATGGTACGTACCTGGTTTTGTCCTTAAAACTAGGTACTACAAAGTGGTGTCAAAGCTAGGTCGACTATAGGACGTAAGCCTAGTTAGAAAATGGTCGTTAAAGGTTTATAACTTGCTATGAAATCCTTGTTCTATAAACCTTGCTATCTTCTTCTACATTATATTCCTACCCTTGTTATTCATCTCCTCCTTGTGGCTTGTTTTAAATCTTGTTCTTACCTTCACTCCATGCTTTGATATGCTTTTAGAACTATCTCTTACCACATTCTTGCGCAACATCAAGATGGATCTTAGAGTTTGAACCCTTGATATAACAAGAACGTTAGTATTGTGAGTATAGAGTCAATGAGTCCCAATGCTTGAACTGACCACCTTGCAAGGCTAAATACTCCTGGGTGACTGATAACGAAGTAGTACCGTGAGGGAAAGGTGAAAAGAACCCCCGGTGGGACCTTTAATGTTTGAATGATTGTCTTAATGCTTATGTTTGTTTTTTATCTTTGTAATGATTGCAATGATTTTGTGGATTATTTTCACAATTTCACTTACATATAGTGTTTAGGCATAAGGATTAATGATTAGATAGTTGGGTTGGTTTTCTCGTCTCTGCCTGTGCTATTTTTCTCAGCAGTCTATGTTAATCGGATTATATCTCCAAATATGGACATCCAAAACTCATGAAAGTTTTATGGATGAAAGTAGACTTCTGTATCTTTCATGTCACTGTAATCACCTTCATATCTGTTATGGTTTAGGAGTTATGACCTTTACAAGTTGAAGTTTCTGCACTGTGTGGGAGTCTGCACAGTTTCGGTTGTGTCCTGTTTTCTACTAACTTAATCTCAGAATCTGGGACAGTGTTCTATACGAAAGTTGTATGGAATTTCATAAGCTTTCTAGCTATATAAGGCCTGTCTTCATATGATTTCTGGAACTCGAGATATGACTATTTTTCTGAACTGTTGTTGTTAGTTCTCGTCCAGAAAATATCAGATTGACTGTTTTTTCATGAAACCACTTCAGGATCATGAATTTTAACCAATACTTGTGCTACATATTGCTAACAGATTGTTGCTACTAGGAGAAATGCTTCAAGTGGCACTAGAAGGAATACCCCCAATGCTAATCCACCGCAATCAAATCCTTCATCTATAGAGCAAGCTTTGATGACACAGACTCAACTCTGACAGACCATTGCTCAGAATGTGTACAACAACTCACATCAAGCACCACCTCGGGACAAGCGTGGTGAATTTATGGAGGGACACCCGCTGACATTCTCTCATGCAAGCGATCCACTGGAAGCTAATGATTGGCTTAGAGTTGTGGAGCGACAACTTAACATAGCCCAATGCGATGACCAGGAGAAGGTGCTTTATGCTTCCGGTCAACTTCAAAGAGTTACTTTGGACTGGTGGGAATCATTCCAATTTGGGCAACAAGATGCAAATCAGATTAGTTGGGATGAATTCAAACTGCTTTTAGATCTTAACATGTTCCTGATGGAGTGGTGACGATCAAGAAAAAGGAGTTCCGCAACTTGAAGCAAGGCTCCATGTCGTGTGTGAGTATCGTGACAAGTTCACTCGGCTATTACGCTATGCTCCAGGAGAGGTGGATAATGATGCTAAGAAACAAGAATGCTTTATGGAAGGACTGAATGATGGACTTCAACTGCAGTTGATGACCGTTGTGTATGCCGACTTCCAAACATTGGTGGATAGGGCCATTGTGATCGAGAACAAGCGTCGGGAGATGGAAGTGAAGAAAAGAAGTATTCAAAGCCAATCCACAGGTAACAACACACACCCCGCTACACTCCCCAGCAAGAGTTCCAGCAGAGGTACCAAGAACCAAATGGTCAGTGGAATATCAATCCTCCTCAACAATTCCCTCAGTATCAGCAAGAGCAGCGATTTCAATGAATTTTGTTGGAAATGTAGAAATAATATGTATTGTTATGAATAATATTTCTGCCGCCTCCTACGGAGCAGACATGTTTGTCTCCTGTGCATGCTTGTGTTGCATCTTTTATATATGCATAGAAAAAGCATGAAAAGGAGATAAAATAAGATTCTCTAGAGAACATGGCTAAGAAAATACTAATGCTTGGCCTTAGTTACACATTTGTACGAAGTATTATTTTTTTAGGTACTGTGCCAGGTCTGGATTCTTCTAAATTTAGTAGGATGGCCTAGTGCACTGAAGATGTAGCGGGATGAGGTGAAAACAGCCAGCGTTGCCTCACACTTGGGAAATTACAATCATTCCAATACCTTTCTTGCCCAAGCTGCTGAGGACCCCAACGTGACGCTGTAGAATTATCTCTGTGCAAGGACCTGGCCCGGTCACTAGCTGGGCATGACCGGAGTTCATACGTACGTGCTGCCAGTGTTTTGGTTGCATTTTGCTTGGGTTGGGTCAAAGTAACGTTGGGTTGGGTTGGGCAGTGCCTTTTTTTTCAAGAACAGTGGTGTAAATTTTCTTCAATGATTTGTCGCAACATACATGCATATTCCAAAACAATGGAATCAAGGTATTAAAACTGAATGTGCCACCCCTGATGAACAGCCGAGACAACCAGAAATGGATGAAAAAACTGCTGCCTCTATTTTCTATGACGACCACCAGGAAAAACACAGCCTCTGTTGAATAAGCAATTGGCTTCTCATAGTTCTAAACTCGCAATCACCATGGTATGATTGTTCTATGTTTGTGCCTTTTATAGTAAGTATGAGTGGAATTATTGAACTGCGGTTGCTTGCTATTCTTGAATGAATGATCAAATTGAATCACATCTAGTGACTACTAATGCACAACCCTTTCACCCTGTTCCAGTCTTCTTCTCGTGGGTACATGGTGGCTTTCGCCGGGAAGAAATACGCAGCGAGGTCAGAGGTCACCACCGGTGTTCGTCACCAACATCTCGTACACAGTGACCAGCTTTACCCTGGTGCGCTCACGAACTGTAGAACCTTTTGCAGTTCTTCACAGTTCCTGAAAAGGGATAATTAACTTGGGTTGCATTTTGCACCCTGTTTGTTTCGCTGAAATTTGGCTTATGTTGCTGTTTATGCTGAAATGTTGTGAGAGAAAAACACTGTTCGTTCTCTAAAAAGTACTGCTGAAGTAGTGCTCAAGAACAAGGCCATTAATGACAAAAGCAGATCAACTAGTGACCGGCATGCATTCGAAAAGCCAGACGATGTGCTATATATGCTCTCCAGTAGTTAATCCAATAGCAGCACAGCGACACGCCGAGACAGACAAATTCTTGGAAACTTGTCTGCACGATGGTCATTGCATTGGGTGTCTTCAGTGCACTGTGTCGACAATTCTAACGCGGCAACTACAAAATCGGTCAACATACCTCCTCGGCATTTTTCTCAGTTGTCGCTATATCCACACGTTGTACTGTTATATAGTACTATGTTCTTCTAGTTGAATTGATCTTGCCAGTTAGAGTATGCCTAATAATAAAATCCACTGCTACCTGTGCATATATTTATAGGTTATTTTTATAGTAGTTGGCTACTAGGACATAATTTATAAGAGCTTATGTGTCAGCTAGATGTAAACTTGCAGCCTACTTCTCTCTCTTTAAAGCTCGCTTATGTCACTTTATTATAATTGCTCTTAGGCATTACACGGTCATGAGTTAGACAACCATGTTGATACATTGTAATGGTAGCACGCATGTTTTCTTGTGTTGGACAAGGGTACGGTCAAGAGTTAGACAACCACCTTTTGTATCCACTTCAACAAATATTGAAATAATGTAAAAAAACAAATATTAAAAATACATATTTGAGACTTCAAAATTCAAATGAAAAGAGTTCAAACTGAAAAGCTTTAGATCTCTGTGATACTACAACTTTGAGTTAGGTGGTTCCTCCATCCTAGTTCATTTGAAAAATTAAAACAAATGAATTTCAAGTTATGAGAACTTTAAATAAAAATTTTCATCTTTCAATGATTTCAAATAAAAAATTTGTTAACTACAAAGTTGTATATCTCTTCGATTACTACAACTTTGATATAAAGGTTGTCTTATCGAACTTGAAATTTCAAAAAGTTATGAAGTTTACTATGGTGCACCTATTTTTAGAAGAGGCCCAAATTACCAACCACCAACATAAATCCATTTTTAAAGGCGGCTAGAGGGTCTATCTGCCTCTAAAATAGACATTTTAGAGAAATTCGACTTTCCAACCATCTCTAAATTATAATACCGGCATTTCTAAAAGTAGCTTGGCTTTTCAGCCTCTAAAAGTTGTTTTCTAGACGCGGCCGACTCAGAAACCGTTAAGCAGTTATTGATTAAGCCATCTCTATGTAAAAATGGAGCTAAAAATCGATTCTGTAGAAGGGACTTACTCATAATCTGGCTGCCAGAAAATCTATTCCTTCTAATATAAACAATATATTTTATGAGTATCTAAGGCCTGTTTGGCAGAGCTCCACCAACTCCAGATCCATGAAAAACAGATCTAGATTCACTTTTCCAAGCCAAACGCTTTTTGATCCACCGCGGATCTGCTACACGAAAACCGTGGATCTGGAGGGTGCTCCACCAAACTCAAGTTTCATGGAGTCGGGGAAAATTAACCACCACCGCCGCTCGTTACACAGAAATAACGATTCGCGTTTTGTTCTGTTTCGCTGCTTCTCCCCCATATTGTGCCCGCCACGACAGTCCTTGCCTCCACCGACGCCAGCGAGCACCACCCCCATCGCGACCGGCCTTTCCCCTTGCCCCCACCACGGCTAGCCCCCAACAACCACAACCGGCCACCGTGGCGCGCCCGCCCCCAACTTGCGCCATGGCCGCACGGGCCTGGTCGTGGCCGCCTAGCCGCACCCGGCTGTGGCCGGGGATGTCGCGCCCCACCGTGCCCGTGCCTAGCCGTAGCGGCACCGCCGCACCCGGCCATTGCTGCACCGTCACGCCTGACCATGACCGCCGAGGTCGGCCCAGCCATGGCCGCGTGCCGCGAGCCGCGCGGTTCCTGTGCCCGCACGAGCAAGAACTGAGGAAGAAGAATCTTTTTTGTTCTTTATTTTTCATTGTTCCCCCTGAATATGTTTTTATAATTCATTTTTATAATTGATATATATGTTTATTAATTCCCTATTTACATATAATAAATAAACGAGCTAGAAGATACGCAGGTTGACTGGCATGGACCACATTACCAGGCCCGGTCCTGTCAATTTATGGGCCTGGAGCTTGGCCAGAAAGATGGGCCCTTCATTTACGACAACGCGCAAGAATGACGCCGGACGCGAAGACGTAGCTATGAAGCGACCAAGAGAGCGGCCGCGGCGGAAGTGAAATCGACGGACTCCTCCTCACACGCTCCAGTATTTTTGGGCCACATATATGATTTTCTATTGGACCTAAGTATACCAGCTATAGCTTATAGTGTGTACATACCTGGGATTAGGCCCCTTGGCTTCGAGGGCCCTGTGCCAATGCACAGCTCGCACCCCCCCGGGGCCGGGCCTGCACATTACCCCCCCCCGCACTCTCCACGCAGCAGATGCACCAACAGATAACAAATTGAGTGGCCGATCGATAGTGGGGATGGTGACTCTCATGAAATTAAAGCAGGTCGGAGATCTCCAATTGCGTTGTGTACACCATGCATGCACGGCGAGTATCGACATCTCGGGAGGCTCCTCCATCAGGACCGGCGGCGAAGACGGGTGAGTCCGGCTGCTGCAGACTGCAATTCTTAAACCATGGGCGATTCTTGGGTGGTTTTCCATCCATCAAGAAACTAAAGCGAACCACAGCACACAGAGCAAACCTAGCAAGGCTAAGGCTGGTGGTCGAAGCACAGATAACTGAAGGCGGGAATTAATGCACATAGCAAGGATGAACACCTTCTATTTTATAGCTGCGCGCATGCATTCGGATCCATGCTCTTCCCCCAATTCCCCTTGCCCCTCCGTCATGACTCTGCTGTAGACCGTAACTCTTAAACCATGGGCGATTCTTGGGTGGTTTGGCTGGTTTTCCATCCATCAAGAAACTGAAGCGAACCACAGCACACAAGCAACGAGCAAACCCAGCAAGGCTAAGGCTGGTGGTGGTAGCACAGGATAACTAAATGCATGAATTAATGGACATCGCAAGGATGAACGCCTTCCATCTTTGCAGCCGCACACCTGCATTCCGATCCGTGCTCCTCCCCCGATCCCCCTTTCCCCTCCGTCAGGACTCCGCTGCAGACCACAATTCTTAAACCATGGGCGATTCTTGGGTGGTTTGGCTGGTTTTCCATCCATCAAGAAACTGAAGCGAACCACAGCACGCAAGCGACGAGCAAACCCGCTAGGCCAAGTCTGGTGCTTAGCTAAGGCAGGTATTAATGTGAGGAAAACTCCACATCGCAAGGATGAGCACCTTCCATCTTTGCAGCCGTGTGCATGCATTCCGATCCACGCTCCTCCCCCAATCCCCCTTGGAGGTTCTTGGACGGAAACCATTTCGGCAGATAAGAAAGTTCGAGTCTTCTCGGGTTCCTTGCTGGGATTTGGTGGTCGGCGGTTGCTTTCTTGAAACTGATCTTGTTCGTTTTTTATATAGGCGAAGAGATGGACGCGGACACCTTCCCAGCGGAGCTGCGCATGCTCGCCGTCGACGACGACCGCGTCTGCCTCAAGATCCTAGAGAGGCAGCTCAAATATTGCAACTACAACGGTGTGTGTTCTTGCCTTCTTCTTAGCCGCCCCTATTTCCCCCGATTCCTGATACAATTTTAGGCCAAACGATGAATTTTTTTATGGTTGGGTGATTTTGTTTTTACGGTTGGAATTCTGGTGGTGTGACGCAGCGACGGTGGTGTCGGACGCCAGGACGGCATTGGACATGCTCAGAGAGAGGAAGGACGGGAACCAGTTCGACCTGGTGATCAGCGACATCGTCATGCCCAACATGGACGGCTTCAAGCTCCTTGAGCTCATTGGCCTGGAGATGGATCTCCCAGTCATCAGTAAAGCCGGCCCTCGCTCAAACCCATTTTCCCATTTTTATGCATGCCATTCTTCTGATCGTGCAGACAATAGCAATCATGAGAATTTGTAGTACTTCCATTTTTCTGGATAGATGCATTGAATGGATTGCTTATTATAACTCAGTAGAGCAGCTGGTTATGAATGTTTGGGCAGGATATCAATAAATGATACATATGCCAATCATAAGTCTTGATTTTGGGGTGCATGTGTACAGATACAATAAAGCTAATAACTGTTTGTGTTCTAGTTTTGTATGTCACCATCTGTTCCTAAGTGCTAAGTAGAATGGAGCTGGCTACTTATTTTTGTCATTTGTAGCATCATATTCACAGTTTGTTTGTAAGCATTGCATGGAAACTAAAACTTTGTCCGTCGTTTTCGGTGTCCATTAGACCGTTACTTTTTGTTCATAAGCGCATTCATTAACCCTATGGAAAGTAAAATTTGTTTTTATACTTGTGTGTGTATTTGTTTATATCCAAGTCGACCATCTAAATAGTTACATAACATTGATGTTTCCAGTTTTAGTTACATATATGCTACGGTTTCCCTATATGTAATTAACTTTTATTTTTTGTCGTTTTTGTGCACTACCATTGGTTTGTCGAAAAGAAAATTATTTCGCCAAAAAATTATTGCACGCTCCGTTTCACATCATTATACGCGCCTGGCTCGGCCTCTGGGCTATGTCATCAACGAAATCCTGCGCTTGTACCTGGTCGCTCCGTTGCTCCTGCCACACACGACTCCACGAGTCGTTCATGGACTGCAAGGTCCGTATGTATTTATAGAGATGGCTTATAAATAAAACCGCTTCTGATATAAAATATGAAGGTCTCTATAAAGTATTTTTAGCAATGGCGGAGCTGGAAGGAAAACAAGAGAGGGCCATCAGCACTAATTCTTTACTTAATATACATATATTTATTAATTTTAATCACTACTCTGATAACTATTTAATGGAGTTTTCAATTAGCAAGAAGGGGCACGGTGCATGTAGCTTCGCCGGTGGTCCTATGCGTCAGCATCATTGCTGGGATGAAGTAGGTGGCAGCAGCAACTGCAAGGAGCCCAGGACTACTTAGGCCATGTTTAGTTCCCCAAGCTTTTGAATTTGGCACTGTGCAAAAAAAAGATTCTCCGTCACATCAAATTTACGGTACATGCATGAAATACTAAATGTAGACGAAATCAAAAATTAATTGCACAGTTTGATTGTACTTTACGAGACGAACGTTTTGAGCCTAATTAGTCAATGGTTGGACAATTATTACCAAATACAAATGAAATACTACAGTGCGGTACAGTGCGCTAACTGCTGATGTTTATTGTGATCAAATCTGTGGCCGTATGCATGTATAAAAAATCATGACATCACTGCAAGGACTACTTGACTGCTGATGTTTGCCAGGATGAAATCTGTCACCCTAGAGATATACAAAATTCGTGACCCGGTGTAATGCACGGGTATTTATCTAGTACGCCTAATAAAAAATACATCTAGGGTTTCGTTCGGTTTGCTGAAACTTGACTAAAATTGGCTGAAAATACTGTTGTGAGAGAAAAACACTACTCTAGCTGGAAAAAAAAAAGCTAAATAGTGTCAATTTTGGTAAGCCGAACGGGGCATAGGGTTTCGTCCACCAAACCTTCGTGCGCGCGCCGCTCTGTCCGATTCCCTCTCCCCCATCTCCGATTCCTCTAATTCTAGCGCAAGACGAAGCAAGTCGATGGGCCTTCCAGAGGCCGTGTCCAGTAGGGACACGAGTCCAATTAGTTAAGATTAGATATTCCGGACTATCATCCTGACGGACACCTCCGGACACTGGCAGGCCGTCATGGATGAGCGGACGCCGCCGCCGCAGAGCAAGACAGCGGTGCTCGCGTGCTTCACGAGCCACAAATCCGCTTGGGCGTACGTCATCGACGACCTCGCGACGGGTCCGGAGCGTATTCCCCGCCACCGTCCCGTCCGCCCCTCCGCGTCGCCTCCCTTCGCCGTGCTGAGCCGGACGCCGCGGACTCCACCTGTGGCTGCGCGGTGAGCTCCCTAATCCAACCCACGCACCCTTGTAGTCTCTCGAGCTCTGTACAATGAGATCCCGGTCTCGCCGGCGAACTATGCCACGGGTAGCCATGGCGCCGCCGCTGGCACCATGTTCCGAAGTCTGCTGAACGAGCGCGCCAGCCCCTGCACCCCGCCTCCCGGCGCGCACGCACGCACGCAAACGCGAAACCACGCGCGAGCGAGCGGAGCTAGCAGCTCTGACGTGCGTGCCCTGCTTTGCTCTTGTTAGCTTTGATGACGCCATCGTCACGTCATGCACACTTTACGGCCGTTTTCCTTTAGGAAAACAAATCTGAAAATACAATAAAAATACACCAATACATACCTATAATCAGCAAACAACCTCCACCGTCCATTTCCTGAACTGTGGCCGAGATTAAAAGCGTCCATACCCTTTCATCATGCAGCCGGTCCATGGTGGACCGCACACACACCACACCATCGGTCCAAGGCCCATGAACTCAGCCCACAGCACAGCCCACAGCCAGCCCACTCTTTTGCAGAAAAATCATCCTGATTTATCTTAATCCACCGACGTGGCGATGTCCAAAGCCTTTTCTTTTTTTTAGTTTTATATCTGCGTCTATACCTATTTGTTGGTATGGCATCTCCTAACTAACTCTGTGAACGTGAAAACTATTTCTATTATCTGTCTATGACCCTCTTGTTGTATATGATGTATACACGGCTTGGACACTGGTTCTTGAGATAACTTGGATAGCTAGAATGCTGATTCTAACATGAATAGGAACAGAAATCCTGCTCAAATAGAAGGACAAATAAAATTAAAAATTACATAAATCTTACCCTGAATATTAAACAATGACTATGTTTTCATTTAAATGAAAACTAAAGACCAACGTAAGTCTTTTAAATATAGCTTCTTAAAACTGTACAATTTTTTACACATGAAAAACTAAATCACTTCCTTGGAAACAAGACTATATAAAACATCTTATAAAAATCTATGACCTCAAAGGGTACTTAGTTTTTCCGTACAACGCACAGGCATTTATCTAGTGTTAATGAAAGGAACCGTGACGTCTAAGAGGGGGTGAACTAGACAACTTAAAAATTCTAACTCTAAGCTATGGCCTCTTTTTCTAACCTTAGCAAAACCTATGCAAAAAGATAAACTATCTAAATGTGCAACTACGGTTTTACTAGTGTGTTGCTATCTCTACCGCAAAAGGAGTTATGCAAACAATGTAAATACGGAAGCTAAAGAGTAAGGTAGAGATATGCAAACTCCCGTCGACGACTCTGGTATTTTTACCGAGGTATCGAGAAACGCGCAAGCTTTCACCTAGTCCTCGTTGGAGCCCCTCGCAAGAAATCCCCCATAAGGGCCAAGCTCCCGGTCGGATAACTCCGTAGATAGCCTCGGGCTTTCCCCACGCACAAGTGGGTCTCCGTGTGCCTTCCTTCAAGCAAGCCTCTCCTTAATCGCTCCCGCCGCCTTCACTATCAAGCTTCGGCTAAACCGCCATGGGGCCTTGTTCCCTTCAAGACACGGTGGTGGCCACACCACAAACGCAGTTGGTGTGATCTCGCAATACTAGAAGCCTCTCCGATGTATAATAATGAAAGCATGTAACCGAGTGGTAAGATGTATGCAAACCTCACTAAACACTAGGCCTAAACTTAGAGCAAGCGCATAAGCGGTGGTCTAATCAACCTAAGCACTTCGCAAAGCACCTCACGCTAATCACCCAATGAATCACTAAGCACTATGCAAGTCGAGATCACTAACATGGTGTATTAACACCCTTGGTATGTTTCCTTAGCTCCACTTTGCTCAAATGATCGGTTGAGGGTCCATTTATAAGCCCCATTGAGAAAGTAGCCGTTGAGGATGAAACCTAGCTTTACATCGACGGCCGGGGCCAGCTTGTTGCCCCATCGATCGCTGTCCGTCCGGTCGTCTGACCGTTACTGAGCGTATGCGTTGATCGATTACACCGCTGAGTCCGGTCATCGTTGATCGGACATCCGGTCGCGCTTATCGCCGCTCTGAACCTCTTTGGACTCAATCGGTCATCCGCGGTTCTGCGTCCGGCCGATCATCCGCCAACATCCGATTAGTCTTGAATGTGTTGCCGAGATGATGAACAAGGTGCCATCATCGCATCCGGTCACTTTTAGTCCATCAAGTCCGGTCATCGCTGGCCGACACCATTGCTGTTGCCGAGCATCTCGATCGACGCTGGTCCGGTCGCTATAAGGGCGCATCCGGTCACCTCTCGCCGAGCTTGCGTTTCTTCGCGATCTTGCGTCCGGCTTGTTTCCCATCTTCGTGCTTGGACTATGCTTGATATCTTGGGTCTTCTCTGTGCTTTCTAGTGTCTTGCTTAAAGTGTTGATCATCGGATCATCATGTCGCCTTCGTCTAAGTCACATCTTGCACCCTATTGAACTACAAAACAATCACTTGCAAATTCATTAGTCTAATTTGGTTGTGTTGGTCATCAAATACCAAAATCTAAAGTAAATCGGCCTATGGTCTATTTTCCTTACAATCTCCTCCTTTTTGGTGATTGATGACAACACGACCAAAACAAGCAAATAATAAAAATTTTAGAATAAAAAAACTATTTACTTGCTAGGATGCAATGCAAAGGGCAAGGTTATATGATGCTAAAATATAGCACATGTAAATATTTTTGGAAACTTATCTTGCCCTTGCAAATGTCCCCATGTGGCATTATGGATTTAAGCCTCCCCCTAACTCCATAATCCACTATCCTCCCTTTCTCGAACCATTACCACTTGTAAATTATTATAATCGGGCTTGCTTTTGGTCCTATAAATTCTCCCCCTTTGGAATCAAACACCGAAAAGGAAGACATTAGTAGCATAAGGAAGGGTCAAACTTTGTGATCCTTTGTATGTGGAGTGGAATAGGTCACAAAATTTGACTCTCACATTATATAGACTAAGCTCCCCCTAAATATATGCATACATATGATGGAGAATGAAGTTTATGCATCATTGGCAAATTA